ATTATCATAACTCCACGATCAGTATAGCGCCGAAGTCAGATAATTCTGGGAATTCCTGATCACTCAGAAAACACGTATTGAGACATTGATTAACATCATCGGCTCCCGAACAGTTGGGACATGTGGAATAAATGCGATGAATTCTGGTAAATATGTCATCACGATATCCTGATTGTGGATGGAAAATTAGAAAATTAGGATTATTCTTTAAAATAAATATAAATACTTTAGTGTATAATGTGCATTTCCATGAAGAAAAAAGTCCAACGATTCGACAACGGAGAATATTTGCGACTCGACGATGCTCTAATAAGTACGATGATTCAACGATGCATGCAGAACTTGAAATTTTGACAATGAGAGAGGAAAGGAGCACAAATTGATTTTAGAGAGATCACTTCCTTCCGTATATCTGACTGAATCGAATTTATCATGATGAACATGTTTAATACATTCGATATATCATCAAATTGGAAATAATAATTATTTTTCTTTCGGGCAAAACGTTTCAAAATACTTGTTCCATTTATTTTTAACCACTCGAAATACATGGTTTATCTTGCACAGTTCTCTTTCTGATAATTTTTTCTTCAAGTTTTTATTTTAGCACATAAATGTTCGGCTCCCATTTTTTCACTTTTGGATGCAGCACAACTTTACTCAACTTTCCCGAAACTTTTCGTGTATATAAGGTGATGAGGAGTACCAAGGCTTTGTTTATTTTCAAAATCTGTTCCATAAAAAATTTTATGAACCAATAATAATATAATGTACATTGAATAAATAGAAATTTTAGACAGTATTAAAAATAATCAGTTCCCGCTCCTTGCATCCATAGTTTCAGAATGTAATTGGTTGGCCGAATGAATAATGATCCTAGGAATGAATTCGGAGTCCGTCAACACAATACAGTCCATCATGTTCACAAAAATTGTCAAAAGATTGAGAAAAAATAAATTTTTCTTTGGTAGAAGTAAAACGAAAAATTGTCAAATACAAGTTCGACATCAACCATGAACTGACGGCTGGATTTAATCAAATAAAATCTGGAATCCATTCTTCCTGAAAAGATTGGAACATTTCAAAAATATTCGTGGTAAAGATGATGCAGTGTTGCCGCGCGCGAATGGAACCTCAAAAACTTGTTGAACACCCATTTGACGATTTGCATCAGCGGCTCTCCCTACAAATAAGTTACACACCAGTCAAAACCAGAGGGGACTGAGGGAAAACAGTTTCCTGTTTAGTACTCCACTCCCTTGAGCTTTTCTGGAACCAAAATAATCAGACACACACAAAAAAAGAAGACAACTGAGCATATTTGGGTAAAAGGGTGGGTGAAAGACTGCTGGGCTACAGGAATTGACAAGTCTAACAATTTGTAAAAGAAGCTCTTCCCGTCACGTCATGCGTGTTTCCCCAAGTTCCAACTTGGAAAAATTAGTTCATTAAGGAAATCCTTGTCATGGTCATTGACACCCGGCCTAAAATGTGATGTACGAGGTGTTCAAAATTTTTTTCTGTTGTGTACAAGAACTTTCTTCGTGCAAAAACAGTCTTGGAATAAAAACTTGGAGGAGTTCAGAAGCTCGTCTGAATTATAATTTTGACGAACTTCCGTTACCAATACTAGTAAAGAAAGTTTTACACAAATTCAACTTCAGGAGGTATAGTAAAAATCTTTACGTTGTAAAATGCGTTATATATTTTTCTGATGTGTTTGTGTACACGGTGTCCGTGAATTAATCGATAACCATCATTATTCTAACACAGTCCACAATTAGGATGATGTTCGGAGTTATGTTTTTTTCCACTTCGTATTTTCGTGACGGTACTTGTCAGTAAGTTCTACGTCGGTGATAATGTTCATTAGATGAAGAAAATTGAATATCAGCACTTCGGAAAGTGATTCACAGGACGTTACATTTAATAGAAAAATTTTAAAATCTTCCTTTTTCAAACGTTCTTCACAATTTTGCCGATGTTCTCAACTCTTCAATTCTTCTGTTTCATCCGGTTTGTTTAGTGATGTTACTCTTTCGCAAACTCTTCTTTGCTGAAATTTATTAGTTGGTAACACATGAAAATTATTCCCGAATATTGTTTCAAACTCATGGAAAAATCTCAGCTTTTTCAAACGTTCTTGGCAATTTTATTCTTCCACTTCCAGTACGTTGAAGCAGTGAAAATATTCGTGTTTTTTATTTTAATTGAAACCACGGCTACTCCGCAACCTGAAGTTTTTCTTTTTCACTTATTTTCCAACCTCTATATATGTGACTGAGAAAGTTTTTGTTGAACTCCCCTCCAAGTGTCAGCCAGACGTCCACACTTCATTCTCCCATGAATACTATTCTGTGTTTTTCTCCCCTGTTAGAAGAACATCAGTGGTTCAGGAGTAGAACATTCTCTTCGCTTCTGTATTCTCAGGGATATTTATTCGTGTTCTTCTCACTGAGGGTGGAGGAAAAAAAATAGGGTATACTTCCTCATCATGTTCAACATGCCTTCATTTTCCTGCAACTGCCAGTTAACCATCAAGACCTCATTTGCTTTCCAAAAGCATCTTTCTTGTCCATTGAATATTATTGCAGTGCAATTTTTGGGCATCAAAAGAACCCAACAAAAGAACAGATCATGACGGCATATATAGAGGAAAATTTTTTTATTATGGGCAATCACAGTTTTCAGCCAAAAAATATAATATTCAATAAGGCAGCCGCTTTGGCATTTTTATTCAAGAATAATTTATTAAGCAAAACTAGGGAATATAATTGACAAGAAATGCTGACATTGTAATACATGTGAGCAAAAGAAATTTGTGCACAAATTGGGGTCCAAAACAGACATAAAACATGTTAAGATAAAGAAAAACATGAAAAGAGAGTAACAATTTGTAACAATCAAGGTTATGTTTAGACTGCTCATTAACCCTTGAATAGAAACAGCCTCTTTTGCATTTCATAGCAAAATTCAGATTTTTTTTTGCCCACAGTCACATTTCTGTTTGACCCAAGGTCACCGAAATGCTCCAAGGTTGAGAAGGCTCAAGTCAGGAAAGAAATCCAGAAAGTTCAAATCCTTGTTGTTTTCAAAAATCTTAAATGCTGATCCTATGCTGCTAGGAATTTAGGAAAAAATTCCACCCATACAGAGAGGATTTTTTTATGTTTGAGGCAAAATTGAAAAAAATGAACTTTTCCCCAACGTAGGCCTTTTTGGTACACAAATTAAATTTTGCAGTCCTCATGGGCACACAAGTGAGAATATCCTGACTTGGTTGCACAATGTTCAATGAAAAATGAAGTTTGGAGAAGAGGCTATGGGCTTTTTTCAGCAGTGCATTCTCTCCACAACACAATTGATGCAAATTGTTCATTGATTCTTGTGGTTTGTGTGGGGGAAAAAGGAACTGTAAACCATTCCTGGAAACCCTTGCATGCACCACAGCCCTCCTTGATCATCCCTTCCTTTCCCCCTGTTCCCTAACAAGCCAGTGTGTCTAGGAATTATTCCAGCCAATTCATCATGGGTCAACTGCTGAGGGCCCCTGCACATATGGGGTTCCCTGCCTCCAGGGCATGACAGCCCGTGTTACAAGCACAAGAAGAAGAAGAAAAAGAAAACAACAAGGAAATCGTTCACTGGGAGGAACGCTGATTGGATCACCGCAGATGAGCCACTGACTTGTTTTTGTTTCTTTCCCCTCAGGGTATACCCGAATCGAGTCTTGTTTGGGTTGCAAAAAGCCAGCAGCCCCCCTTTTTGATGGGTTTCCCAACCCTCCCATCAAAGAAAGCACAGTTCTTGTGTATGTACAAGTAATCCGAGCATCGCATGTGTTGAGAAAAATTTTCGGTGTCCACAAAGAATATTTAAAAGCAAATAGTGAATCTTTGCTGATTCCATGGAACAAAGCAGGGAATGTTTGAGTAGAAATAGCAAGGGATCAATGCCACTTCACATGTGCTGTACATGGAAAAAAAAAGCAAGTGAGAGAGAGAGAGAAAGGATTGAGATAAGCTGGTGGAAAAGAGCTTTCGGACCTGCTTCAGTAGAATTCCCACGACATTCTTTCCTCACAAGTATGTGCTCTTTGTTCCTCAGAGTACTGAGCCAAGGATTTTCGGAAGTCTTCCTCTCTTCTTGCCTTATTCTCACCGCACACTCGACTTGATCTTTTTCGCTTTTGCATCTCGCGCATGACAGCAGAAAAATGGCAATGCTTAAACCCAGACATGTCTTGAACATACAGTTATTTTTTCATTGAGGAGGTGCATGAAACAGAAAAAGGAATAATGATGCCCTACTGGTTACAGAACAGTGTTCTCCAACCTCTCATGGCCCATGAACCGGCAAATCTGCATTACATTTTTTTTTTTCAAACCGGCAAATTTTCAAAAAGGATTCTGTGGACCACCAAAGTTCCATAAGATTTTTGCATACTCCATTTTTTTTCTTTGAACGCTTGAAAGCAAATAAAATTCAGCTTGACCAATTAAGCCTGGATTCCCAGTCCTAAGAATGCAGGCCCCAGGCAAGGAATCCCAGAAGGTTTCCAAAAAAATTGCACTAGACTCACGCAACTCTGGAGGAAGAACCTCAGAGGAGGAAGACAATTTGGTAGCCATGGGCTAATGACCAGAGGAGGGAAAAAAGTGCTTATTTGCAAAGTTCATGCCTCTGCTACCAATTTTTTGTAACCAAAGTGGGTACAAAAAGGCAGAATTTGGAAATAAAACAATTCACTCAGCTGTGGGGTTCAGCTGGGGATCTTGTTTATGAGATTCCAAAGAAAAATATAAAGATATATTTCTTGTAACCCCAATAAGATTAATTGATTCACAGAACACAGCACACAATAAGAATATCGGAAAATGATTGTAATAATAAGTGGCAGCAGACTCTGACAGACTCAGGAAATAAAGAATATTTAATAATGTTGCAAAAGTGACCTTCTATGGTTGTTCACTCTCTCTCTTCCATGATCTGTAGTAAACATGAGTAAGGTCTGGAATGTTCTGGATTAATCAAATAACATCTCTTACAAATTTCTTGTACAGCACAGCAGTACTTCAATGTACTGAATTATTCTGCCACAGCAGGTATTTAACAATGGTCTGTTTTTTTGTTCCAAGAACTGAGTGAAGAACCAATGAAACAGCTACAGTGGAATGTCTTCAGAAAATTTGAAAGGTGAGCTTGAAGAAAGGTTTCTCAGAATGAAAAATCAATATGATTTGTTCCAGCATGTGCAAATTTGCCAGAAGTGTTATTAGGAGAAAAGTCAACTACTTTTTTTCATCAGATAATTTCAACTGCCATTGCCTTTACAAAACTTCAAATAAAGATAACATACTGTACTAAACATTGCTATTTTTCATAATTTTTATTATGCTGCAGAAAATTTCCCACAGACCAGCAAAAAACTTCTGCGCACCAGCACCAGTCTGCAGACCATGGGTTCGGGAATACAGCTACAGAAAATAACGACTCCAAGAAACATATACCGAATCAAAGAAGCCCTTTGGTTGGAAGAGTATCAGCAGCAGCAGAAGCTCGTCAATAATAAGACTGCCATCTGGGAATAGTGAGAAAGTGGCAAAACAGGGGCGACGTGATGCCTTGTAATGCTGACGAACATGACGCTGACGCGTCGGAGTGACAAAAGGGATCCTGTATAACATACACGAGTCTTATTTTGGCTTCCTGGGCCATCCTTTTTTGGCACATGTCATTTAGTACAGAAGAAAAGGGCGAAAATGAACTACATATAGGTATACTGTAGTGAAGAAGCGATGAAAAATGGTGAAAAAGTCAACATTTTTTACAAATGTTTAAGAAAGTGCGAACCAATAGTGAAAAGCACGTTTGTAAAACCTTTGAAACTCCTAAAATGGACACCATTCATCTTAAAGGATAGCGTAGTTTTTCTTATTCAAAGAAAAAATGGACAAAAATTATTCTTCCCTTTGTTAAATTGGTAAAAAATCGTGCTGGTCAAAAAATTCTGCTCTCTGTCATAATTACTGTATAAATTTATTGCATTATGTGGTGAAATATATTTGAAAGACATCTGATCGATTTGTTTTTTTTTCACTCAAAAACCCCAATAACCGCGGCTACGATGTACTTGAAACACCTGAGAAATATAACAGTGATTTTTTGCATAATTATATTTTAATTATTAGCATATTACGCTGATTTTTAGAGTTTTCTAGATTTGTGATTTTCAAGCAGCAATCAACACTAGCAAATGTTTATAGAAATCATGCTTGAAAAGAGTAGTTATAAATTTTCCAAAATCATGCTTGAAAAGAATAGTTATAAATTTTCCAGAAATAATTGAAACACATATACAACAAAAAGACGTCTAGCTAATAATTGATTAAATAAGTCACTGACTTTAATTACTTAAACGTGACGATTTTTCCAAAGCACAATACCTTTTAAAGTCGTTGAGAAAAGACAGACACGAGCGGATTGATTTATGAATATTGGCACAACATTTGAATAGTTGAATGCTAAACATTAAATCATCTCGGATTCATTTCCATGTCAAAATACTGTATTGGCATATTCTACGTACCGCAAAAAAGTGAGAGCTATTCAAAAAAAAAAAGCTGACATCATCCCCAAATCATGAAAGAAGATGTGCATGCATTAAATGCAAGATGTTTTTGTGAACTTTTTGGGAACTTTTAACATGCCCAGCAAAAATTTCAGATTGCCGCCTGAGATGGCGGCTATTTTTACACGTAACCTGGCCGTTTCAGGTGGTGGTCAAATGGGTTTGGATGCGAGGAGGGATCTGTTTTCCTGACGCGGTCAGGATGGGGTAAAAAACGTTTTTAGTTGACAATTTTGAAAGCATCAGAGTCTGACGCTTTTAAAAGCATTTTTAACCTAGTCAAAAACGTTCTTCCGTGACGCTTTCAAAAGCGTCAGAGGCTGACGCTTTCAAATGCATTTCTTACCCTGTTGAAAACGTTTCTCTGTGACGCTTTTGAAAGAGTCACATTTTTACTCTTTCAAAAGCATTTTTTACAGAAATCATTTCTTTAATCTTACACTAATAATTGTAAATATTAACACTGTTACCACAGATTTATTTGCAAGTTGTTGCAATGTTGTTAAAATGCCACACAGTAACTGTTTGAAACACTTTAAAGATCAATTTATGTGTTACTGGCAATTGCAGAAAACAACATTGTGTTAACACTGCTTCCACAGTGTTGTAACATTGTTGAGGTTACAATACTGCAGCATGGATTTGGACTACCAGATCCATGCTGCAAGGCTGTGATTGGCTGTGGTATAATACTGCAGCCAATCACAGGAATCAGACCACTGTTGTACCACAGCATGGATCTTGACTACCAGATCCATGCTGTGATGCTAGAGTTTCTAGCCAGAATTTTTGCTCTGGCCAATCACTGTTGTATGTCCCCAGTGGAATCCCCAGTAGGTTGCTTGTTTATTCATGTCTTTCCTTTGACTGTGCGTGTGTGTGTGTGTGTTTGTTAACATGCTGATATGCAGCCCTGCATTCACAATGCTAGTACAGTGTACTGGCATTGTAAATGCAGGGCTGCATAGCAGTCAAAAAAATTTTCTTGAAATAGTTTCACTGACGCTGTGGGGAACAGCGTCAAAAAAACGGGAATCTTGGCAGGAATAAGGGGGGGGGCTCCCAAACCACCAGGATAACCGTCAGGGGAAGCGGCAATCCTATCCCCGTCTCTCCAGGCAGGTATAATGCCCGCTTTTTATGGTCTCAGTGGCCGCCTGGATAGACGTCCACTCTGGATGTCTATAAGGCCATCATCTTTAGTGGGTAAACCCAAGCAGATAATGGCCAAATTATTCGCTGGGTGTATACTCGTTTCTGAGCCAAATTGATGAACAGAACAGTGTCTTGTCATTTCATTAGACGAAGAAATTCCTTTTACGAGCATAATTACAGCACCTTTTTGCGTTAAACAAGATGAAGAAACATGGTAAATTTCTGAAAAGGTCAATAGAAGAAAATTTCGTTTTCTTCCAGGATACGATTCTCGATCAAATTTGAATATTTTATTCATTATTGTAACTCTGCTGTGAGTTGAATAGCCTTTTTGTATGGGTTGAGGAGGAATCAACGATCGTTCTGAATTTATCGATTTCAGTTCTTTTTTTAAGCATTCAGTATAATCTGAAATTTCAAAAAGTTGATTCAGCCGACTTATCTGGTGTGTGAAAGACAAAATGTTGCAAATTTTGGATGAAATGAATGAATTTTTATATTCAACACACTCGATCGAGAACAGCATTGAAGAGCTAGGTCTTCATCATCCTGTTTTACATATGCTGCATCTCATTATCGAAGAAGTTCAAGTTTACGAATCTATAAGCTTGTTTTGACGTTCCTCAATTTGAATCTATCGATTATGCAAGGGGATATTTTGACACGCAGTAAAGTAATGTTTTTGTGAAAGAATTGGCTCTTTATTTTCATAATAATTCCTGCTTTACTTTTGGATTCGAATTATTATAGTTTGAAATCACGGATAGGTATAATACTCATCGAGTATAAATCACAGACGCGTTTTAAGTCCATATGTTATTAAGCTGTGACGCATTGTTAATCGTCAAGAGTACATTTTAATTTTTTTCAAGTACTGCACGTTTGTTTTTAGTATACATTTTTCGACGGAGAATTTACATATAAGCGGGGAATGCCAAATTGGGTTCTCAATGCGTCTAATTACAAAAAATTGCAGCCAAAAATATTTTTCAAAAATGATTCGCATCTGATAAATAATTCACTTCAGCGTCTTACTTCGCTGCATAAAAAAATCGGACTAAAGGAGAACCGTTCTAATTGATCTCAGTAGCTATTTGCTTAATATATTAACTCATAAAGCCTATGGGTCTATAAACTTATAAAAGTTCTTGAGATGCTTAAGTTTAATAGCCGATCAAAGATTGGCTGAATGAAGATGGCTCTGCTTTGGACTCATTAGGGTTTTGTAAGACTCTCCAAATTTTAGAAAGCTGTTGCCAAATCTTTTCTAACGCATATGCGTTGGGTTTTTTCCGCAAGAAGCAGACAAAAAACCGCTTCTCCACAAAGTAGAAGTAGTACCGTCGAATAACGCACGGTTTACCACTACCTACTACCGACGGAGGTAACCTCTTCGGCTGATGACATGACGACTCCTAACCCTGCGTGAAGATAAAAAAATTTCTTGCCGGCTGGCTCATGTCTATGGAGGGATTGATTATTATTTTATCAGACAAAGGAAAATTGATGGTGATCATCATCATTTCACGGAAAATGTCTTTCACTTTCCGAAGAAGCTCTCTTCCTTTCAGCTTTATTTATCCTTGGGTGTTATTGGTACTTCCTGGCCCAAGATGACGCTTTTCAAGCCCCGAACGTGGAGCATTTTTCATCCGATTTATTCCACGCGGAACCTCCCGAAAAAATGCAGAAAAAAACAACTCTGTTGATCATTCCGAAACATTTAACGGCAACAACAGCCAAATCTTGATCACAACAGATGTGCCGTGATGATGCGCGATATATTTTTCACATTATCATTCAATGATCTCTATCACTTTTTTCACACGCCTATATATAAATGTGTTCCAATTAATCCTGATCCCGTGAGCCGCCTCAAAATGGATTTCGATGATGAAGATATGCAAATCTCTCTGTATTGGAAAAGAAAACATCTCCAAATCGATTTCTTCTTTTCCCGGATGATCTCAGAACTTGATCCGATTTTGTTTACAATCCTCATCCCTTTTGACAGAATCAATAAAATAATAAAACTTCAAAGAAATTAAACTTATTTCTCAGGCGTTAAACTGCAGTTTTTCAGACTTTTTTCTACCAAATGTAAGATATATTTTCCAGTGACGCGAAAATTAAGTACAGTAATGCAGTGCATAATACAGTATTTGTCTTTTCCATCACGTGATTTGAAATCAACGTTTCATGACCAGAGTCGGCCATTTTTCTAATGAATTTTACTTTTCATCGGGAAAAATAAGCAGAGATTCGTGGAGATTGTTTTTCATTTTTATATTCCAAGGGCGTGAAATCATGTCATTCATCAAGAGAAACGCAGGAATCGTGACTCATTGGCATCATCAGCTTCAGAAATCGACGCATTTCGTAGCACAAAAGGGGAAACTTGACGATAATTTCCTTCACTTGTGATCATCACGTTTCACTCACACATTCTCGACGATGTTCTTTGCAAGCCATAACGGCCAGCAAAAAAAAAGGCAAAGAAATAGTGAATCACTGACCCCAAAGTTCGCGAATTTTTTGCAGAGAAGAACATTTTCTGTTTTCAATTTGTAAATCGGCACGTGTTTCCAGCACAGATTTAAAGCACTAATTTGCATGGGGGCCGGATTAAAAAAAAAAACATTTTTCATATGTCAGAGCCGCAAGTTTCGAGGAGGGGGTCCGAACTCGACAGCGTCAGTGTCGACACTGAGGCCTGGTTCTCGACACTCGACGCGTTTCTACGGGCCGGGGAGCATCGACACAGACACGAGCATAAATCGACGCAATCCCCGATTTTTTCCCTCTCATCCTTCCTGTGAGAAGATTCCTTCCGGAATCACCTGAAAAAAATTGTGCAAAATCCGTAAATTTGGAGCATATAATTGTCAGACTGATAAATTCGCACTGTCCGGATTTTGCGAACGCGGGAAAAAAAATTAGTGAACAAAAATCTTGAACCTTTTAAAATGGTTCTAAATATTTTTTTAAGGTGGATTAAATGAAGAAAAATCGGTAGTTTTATAATTATTTTATTGTGATTATACTTCCCATTTATTCTTGCCGATTTTTTTTTGGCGTTTCCTGTACAATATTCCGCAAACGTTTGTTGTTTCGTGGGATGGCTGTCGTTTTCTTTACTCAATTTCGTCTTCTGCCCACGATTGAGTAAAGACTCGCATCCGTGAGCCAGGAGGGATGTTGCCTCGAGGGTGGATGGATCCTTGAGGAGGGTTTCCCTCAGGGGTCTTTTGGTTTATTTGAAAAGGGGGTGTTTCCTAATGCGTCGCAATTTCAGGTTACATTTTGTTTCATCTTTCGCGAGCAAATAATGTTGCCCATCATCTCGATGGGGAACCCGGGAGCAAGCGATGGAATGAAGTCGTCACGCTGTCTATTCAGGAAAACCGATTCATGAATCTAAAAACGCAAAAATCGTTCTAGCTTTGAAAAATACTTCAAAATTCCCCGAGACAATGCTGTCAATGAACTCGGAAACTTCAATTATTCTTATAAATAATCAGAATGTTTGTCATGTCAGCAATAAGAGCGAGGTGAAATTTATCAATTATCTGTAAATGTCGGTTGTGTGATTTCAGAAACCATTCTTTTTTTATGTGGCATGTTTCAAAAATCTTGCTTGTGAACACGAAACACTTTCCAATCGAGCATTTTTTTTTCTCATCTTATTCCACAGTCGGACTCATTCTGCAAAACGCCAATGTTTGGAATAATCGATGAAGGTATAGAAATCTCCTGAAAATCTAAGCTTTACGATTTTGTGTATCACATTATTTACAGATATTTAGTATGATAGGAAAATACCGCCTTAAAGTCGAAAATTCCATTTTGAGGAAGTTGAAAACGAAATGAGACATTTTTAAAAATGTAAATTGTAGCTCTGTGCTTCGAATCGTCTGTGAAGATAAAAATCTTTTTATCTGCATATAGACAATATTGTTGTTTCTATTTTCAATAATATATTTGTTTAATGTTTTTGATCGAAAAAAATCGCTTTATTCGGGTGTCAGGGGAACCCAGAATCATTCGCAAAATAACAGTACACTGTATCTTTCCGCTTTATCACCCGGAAATGTTTCAGGAAATATTTAAGATTTCCAACACCTTCAGTATCGAAGTTATTGGAAAACCCTTCGATCCAAAGATCCCGGGTTTGAGCAGCGGGTGACAGTTTTTCTCCTGGTTGCCCCGAGGGGATGGCCGTGGTAGACACTAGTATATATCCCAAGAAAGCACTCTCGTCTGCCCTAGGCTTCCTGGAAACCTATCTGGAAACTTGACAGTCTAAGCAGTTTCAGCGCCGAGGGAAAGACTCTTAAGTTTAACCCACAGCTATATACACCATATACAGCTTTTGTTTGACATTTGAAATATCCTCGATGAGTAAATCGGCAAATCTTTGGAAAAGCCAGGGAAAGGCAATCAAAATCTCGAGATGCCTGAAAATGCAACTCATTCAAGCAATTATTGACACTTTGGTGTGAAGCTGAGAAGTGTGATGA